AGCTCGATGGTGACAGGTGGAGGACAGTGTGAAACAGATATACAAGGTGTTTATAGCAACATCTTGAGAGGTAAGTATCTGCCCTCATTTCCTCTCAACTTGTTTGTGTGGATTTAAATCATTCACCTAAGGACAAGAGGTTTGCTCTCACTTTATTTCCTCTGTTAATCAAAACATTTCAAATTATGTCTCATTCCTTATAATGACTTCCTCTCTTGGAAGATCAAATGCACAGATGCTTATGTTTGATCTTGAGTTTAGCTGTGGACTTCCTAGACACATGGTGAGTTGGGGTGTGTGTGTGTGTGTGTGCATGTGTATAACAGAGAGGAGGAACAAAGTCGGTGAATCAGACGAGCTAATAACATAAAGACTTATAGCAAATGTATTTTCTATTGTGACTTTGCAACAGAAAAAATGACATGTAGCTTATAATTCCTCTCTGACACATGAAGAGCTTTCAACTAGCCAGTAACTTCCAGAAATCTTTGATTCCATAAAGAATAGCAAGTGAAAAAAGAAGCAAATTAGTTTTTTTTTCCATGAAAAAAACCCACCATTTAGTTGTTTACTGGAATCTTAAAAAACATTGTAATCATCTGCAAAAGGCAAAGGGACCAGATTTCTGATGCATAATGGACAGATCAGAAGAATTAACCAAGCAGTCACTATATGGCAGGAATAGATCCTTGTAAACAGTTTAATCTATTCTAAGAATTCTGTGTTCCACTTTTATTTAGACCAACTGTTTCTTTGAGGATTTATAAATTTATCCTAAAATAAAAACTTTATGTCTTACACCAGGAATCAGAACTGAATTTAGTCAGAACTTCTCTCTTCTCTACTCCAGTGGAGATTCTTCACCATCTCTGGTTAGCACTGGGCTCTGCAGAAATATAACCTGCAGCTAGTACCTCACCATTTTACATGCTGTGTTGGATTGCCTTCTCATTTGTATAGTGCTGAGGCCAAATCTATGTTCCCCCTTGATCTCTGATGTTGTAATTGATTTCTAAGAGTATCACTTTTGGTTGCTTGAGAAATAACAGCAGATTAACTCATCTTCACTGTCACTCACAGAGCAAAATTTTGGAATATGAGCCCAAACAATAATTGAGTCATGTTAGACAGCTTTTCATCACTGTGACCGAAATACCCAAATAGAACAAGTTAGAGGAGGGAGTTCATTTAGGGCTCAAGGTTTCAGAAGTTCAGTCCATGTTCAGCTGAGTTCATTGCTCTGGGCCTAAGGTATGGCAGAACATCATGATGGAACTGGCAGAAGAAAGCTGCTTAGTTCATGGTGACAGGAAGCAGAGATAGTGCAAGGTGCCAAGGACAAAAACATAAAACCAAAGACATGCCCCCAGTGAGCTACTTCCTTGAGATGTGACTCCCCCCACTACAGTTACCACACAGTTAGCCCATTCAAGTTATTCATTCATCAAATGGACTAATCTACTTATTAGTTTATAGTTCCTTTAATCCAATTATAAGCCTTCATGGGGTACCTCATATTCAAACCATACCAGGTCTATCAACAGAAGTTACAACAAATTAACCAAGAAACTTCCTTGATTCTTTTTATAGAAAGAGATGGACTTTGCTAGAATAATTTCACTTTATAAATGTTATCAACAGTGTATTTGGGAAAAATACAATAGAATATAATAAAATAACATTAATGCTACCCTTCCATAGCATATAATGCAAAATTATTAAATTTTAATAAAATATTATCTAATAATATCAAACTATTTAGTGGCATAGGACATTTGTTAAAACTATAAATACCAGAATTCCAGTGAAATTTTCTTATTGTCATTTTCATAAATTGCATGTTAAGGCACATTTGTAGAATAACAGTCTATTGGAAAGGAAATATAAAATGTTCATAAATATTAAGCTTAGCAATATATTTTAAATTATACAAAAAATGAAATCTATTATTTTCTGGTTCTATATATTTAGTATGGTGATATCTGCAGAATTAAAAGCTGAAGACAGTCAATGTTCCCATTACTTGTTAAATGAGATGAGGAAAAGGGCCCATGTTAAAAATTAAATGTAACCACTGTGTTCACATCCCCTGCCCCCCACCCCCTGCCACACACATTTATCTCCTCCTTCCTTCATCAATTTTGGTTTTGTGGTACTATATTATCTTTATTATGAGAGGAGTGTCCCATTGGAGTGTCCCTTTGATATTTTGAGGTTTTTGTTTTGTTTTGTTTTGGATAGAAATTGCAGGATTTCTCTCTCAGTACATTCTACAAAAGTTTCATTACAGTCTCTAGTTGTTCAATGATATTACCAGAGAAAGATCCCAGGGGAATAATTTCATTGTGAATCCTCTAGGATAGAAAAGCAAAGGACACAATGGAAAATTATTAGAAAAAGCACTTCTAGAAGTCACAAACTATTACTTGAAATACAGAACTGTATTCTCTCCTGATCAATAAAGAATGGCTGATAGCTTTGTTTTGAATATGTGATATACCTATCAAATCCCAAGGAGGTAGGAGAGAATATATTCATATCAGGACAGCCAGCCAGTTCTAGACTTCAAACTAGCTGAACATTTTCTATCCTGTCTTGTAGTTATATTATTCATTTACTTATTTATTATGTGCTTTTTCCCCAATACTGGGACTGAAATTTGGTAGATCATTGGGCAACCAAAAAGAACACAGTCTCACAGTAATCAAATCTCCTACATCTCCAACACAAGTTTTATGACTAATGACAATTTACATTTAGTTCTCCCACATCTACACTTTTCCCACCTGACTTTATCCTTTTGAGCATGTCTGGAAACTTTTTTCAGATACCATATTGACTTCTTCGCTTCCTGTAGGTTTTTTTTTTTTTTTAATGATCTCATCACATGGTCTCATATATTTATAATTTTCCCCCTGATCAAAGGATTTTTTTTCCTAAACAAAAGCTCTTCATTCTTTGGAAGCAGAAAATTAAATAGCATAGTAACATCAATAATATCAGAGATTAGCTGGAAAAAGTTGGAGGAACAGTTTGAGAAATCTAGAAGAAAAACTTCACAGGAATTTCAAGTTAACAAGAAACTTAAATCCCAGCAGTGCTCCAGGAGGAAAATTATATGTTAAATGTCTATGTAACACCATTAACAACCAAAGGCCAATATGTGGTGAAATGGCAGATGGCATTAAGGCTGACTCAAAGGTGCCTCTTACTGGATCCTGCAGGAAAATCAACCACAATAACACAGCAGGACAATGTCCTAGTACATATTCATCCTTGCTACTGCAAAATTTAGCCTAAATCAGTACAACTTTATTGCCTTTTGACTTGTTCTTCCCATAATGTATAGTAGTTCCAACGTATAGGCCAATTTTTCTACAAATAACATTTCATTATATTAAGTTTTAAATGGTAGGAAGCAAGTTCTATAATTACTGAATATAATATTTAAATTAAGTGAAAAATCATGTTCCAAAGGTCCATACCAATGAACTGGAAATATTATAATATTTAAATAATCCACAGAAACCCAGGTTCTTTTCTTGTATTTAGAAAGGACAGTAATGACTTAGATGTATTTTCTTTCTTTTTACTGGAAACATACTATGAAAACTGTTATTAATCTGGTGGAAATATCAAATGGAGAGTCATGAAATCCCACATTTTAACTTTTTACAAAGTGATTTCTAAAAAATATCAAGTAGCTCGTGAGCAAATAATAGATGGAATTTTCATTTATAGCATATTTTATTGTCTACTCAGAGACAATGTGCTAGGCTAGAGAAACAATGTCAAAAAAAAAAAAAAAAGGAAAAGAAAAAGAAAAGAAAGAAAAATGTCCCTTCTTTTATTAGGTTTAGGGCTTCAATTCAAGTTATATGACATTAATTTAAAAACAGAATCAACTATACAATTACTTTATACACCAAGACCTGTTAATAAACTGATATTTTTTATAGAGTATTGGGTGTTGCTACTAACTGGTTTGGGGATTTTGGCTGAATCACTTAACTTGTAGGCCTTATATTTCCCAGAATAAAAGTAAATGGGTTTAGCTGCATGAACACTTAAATATTTTATGGCTCTGACAATCTCAATTTTTTGAGATGTTTCTTATAAATTACCTCTTAATCTTCACAATCATCTGCAGTGACAAAGGCAAAGAGTATGATTTGTGGAAGTGAAATAGCTAAGAAAATACCGAGAGAGTTGCAACTTGATTTCCTGGCTTCTGAGTTCTGGTACCTGAGAGCCCAGATGATAGAGAACACGTGAGCTTTGGACTACTTGGGGTGAGCTTTGGACTACTTGGGGACAGGCTTGCCGCTTGCAAGCTTGGTGACAGTGAGCAAATTGTTCCATACCACTGAACTCTGTTTTCCTTACCTTTAAAACTGGAAAATAACCACACACACCCCTATAGGATGTTTAGCATACAGTAAAGTCCTCAAATATAGCTTTTACCCTATACACAAGGAAATAGGAAGTATATAATCACAGTGTTATAGAACAACAATTTTAACCAAACTGGAACTCGCTGTCACTTTTCACCTTCTCTGGGACCCCAGGTTTCTTTATTATTGACTCCTAAATGTGCTTCACTGACATTTCTCAGCAGAACAGAGTTCTGTTTTCATCCAAGAATAGAGAACCAGGGTCTTATAAATATGGACAATTTTACCAAAAATTGATTGAGGCTGTCACCGGCAATTATGCTGCACTTAATGATATTTCTAAGAACCTTTTTCCAATGGTTCAATAACAAAAGAAAATAAAACTTTGTTATTGTAACATCCTAACAGGTAAAACTGGTGACACTGGGACATTTTATTATTATTATAATTACTAGAAATTAATTATCATTATCAATTATACATTCAAATCATGTACCTCTGATGCTCAACCTCTACTTACTTAGCCTTTTTTCTAGGTCCATGAAAAATCTCAAGAGTTTAAGTGCTGTTGATGTAGAAGATTCTTTTAAAAAGGCTTACACAATGTATTTGTTATCAATGCTTTATTGTTGAAAACAAAATTGAAATTCTCTGGCACATAAAACAATTATTTCTACAAAAGGAAAGCCTACAAATCTTGATAATTTATACAAATAACAGCTTCTCAAAAAATAAAATTTTAATTTAGTAAACTTGTCTTGTGCTCTATATTTTTAGCACTGTCTGCAATAATCCACCATAAATCCCTGAGCGGAGACATTTTTGATCATGTTCTGACATCCCCCCCAGACCTCCCCCCAAGCCCGAGTTGGTCAGTTACTAAGTACAGCCCTGTAGTAAAAGTGTCAGGGACATGTAGTTATTAAAAATCCATGCATTTTATGACACAGCCCAATTATTAATGCTACTTGGGAACTGAGTCACATGAAGTGCCTCTACTATGCATTCAGTGAACCTATTAAGAAACAAGTGTTGGAAAGGAAGAAAACAATAACAATAAAGAGACATAAAATGTTAAGACTAGGAAGTTGTCATAAGTCAATAACTATTTAAATAAATAAAAATGTTAGACATTGAATTTATCTTTATAGCCTTATATTAAATTCCTTTTTCTTTTTTTTTTTTGCAATTGCCAATGCACTAAGATGAAACATACACTTCAACCCACTACTTCAGTTTGACCATTGGTTTGTGGTTGTTAAATGTTAAATATCATTCTGGAAACACAGTGATTTAGTTATAACTTAACTTTGGCCCTTCAATGAAATGTTTACAAAATAATACACACATTACAGGAGGGCCTTCTTATTAATGCCATTAAAAAAATCTCTCTTACTACATTTGCCCTTCTCACAAAAACACTAGTGCCATAGCAACACTACTTTAAATTCTTTATCCCACTGTATTCAGATACATAGCAAAATACACAAAATAAGGAGAAAACATAATATGATGTATTTGCATGTCCAGCTTCCCTTTAATGGAAATTTGATCTTATATACAGGGAGTGTGAAAGGGAAGGAGAAAAAGCTAATTTTCAGTTGCAAAGAACTGGCTTAATGAATCAAGTTTTTTTTTTTTTTGTTGTTATTCTGCTACTGTATAATAATAAATAAATAAATATGTAGGGTATCGTATAGCTAATTTCTCTATAAAAAGTTGATAACAGACTGGTGTTTTATGAAATTAATTTTTAGTAGCAAAGTTTGATTGCAAGTCAAAAACTGTTCAATAAATGTTTTTCTCTGCTTCATTTCTAGTCTTTCATTTGTGAAATGATCAGTGAAGTGGTTGATAACAGGTAATGAAATAAAATACCCAATTTGCTAGTGAAAAATAGTTTTCAACTGAAAAAAAATCACGTGGCAGAAGACCTATCCATATACAGGTTAATGCTATATTCTATTGCAGTTTAAAACAACTCATTTTTGATACCTTTCAGGAAGAACAAATAAGATAAAAATAATCCTTTGAATATTGATCTGCACTGCTGTTTAGGTATCTATTAGAAATTGGTTATCATTTCATATAATTCTTTGCAAAATACAAAATTAAAAACTGGGAAACCACCATCATACACTCCTTTGTGTAGACTTGATCTTTTAACAACACAATCTGGGAAGCACACATACCTTCCCTTTTGTCTAACTGCTATCTATTAGTTATTGGAACTAGAACACTTATAAGCTTCCCTTTCTCTCATCCTTATGCAACCACGCATGTTAGCCAAGAACAGCCATTTTAAAAAGAAATATCAAAAGAAATTAATACAATGAATTCTACTGGACAGTTTTGAAGAAAACATTGACAACATTGAAACAAAAATGCCTGCCTGACAGATATAAGGCTTCTCTAGCCCCTCTCCAAAGACTACCTCTATTTTCCATATCCTTCAGAACATGAAAAGCAAATGATGTTCAAAAAAGTCAACATCCAAGTCATCTTGTGCACTAGTTGAGAAACAACTGCAGATTCTGACAGGTCTTGATACAATATTAAACAGAACAAAAAGTTTTCTAAGCTTCAGAAACCAATAAGCAGGCTGTCCCAAAGACGGAAGACAGCAGCATTAGGACAACCAGAGGCTCACTGTGATTCACACTATGTTAATCACTCCCTATTAACAATCTTAATAGTGTATTGTGGCTGAATGGACACTCTGACTTCCTCTCACAGTGTTTAAGGAACCATATAATTTCAAAATTAGCTTTCAAAAATGAAAAAAAAAAAAAAAAACTATAACCAAAGTACCCCCTCCCCTTTAAGAATGTCAAAAGATCCTGTGTTAAGTGCTCTGGTTTATAGTCTATGGGCAACAATTACATTCTCAAGGAGGCTTCCAATGTTCCCCTTTTTGGTGTTAAAGGCTGTGCCAATAGCAAAGTGAATTCTCCCAGAAGTGACAATGACCTCAATGACCTCTACTCGGGTCTTGAAGTGCAAAAAACGAGATCTTAGCATAACACTTCTGAGAAGTTTGGTCTGTTAATGGAGCCAGCTTTTAAAAAATGGAAGAGGATGAGCTTCTGTCCTCCTGTGTCAGGTCTTGGAAGTCTTTAAACCTTGTTTTTCCATGATGTTCCACAATTTTCGGAGATTGGACTGTGTGATGACATCATCAGGTTTGAGCTGCAGAGCCCGTAAGTAGTTGGCCTCAGCCTTCTGGAGTCTGCCATTAAGGTGCAGAATGGCTCCCAGGTTCATCAGAGCAGCCGGATACTGCAACAACAGAAAGGGCATAAAAGGATTATGTGTCCATTTCAAGCTGTCCTTCATGGAAGACAAAAATCTTCATCCACTTATGCAAATGATTCCCTCATCTCTAGAAGCATACGATGCAAGCAAATTTAGCAGATTTTACAAACTGACAAAGATAACTAGGAAGAAAAAAAAAGATTTTAAACAGTTGCCTTGTACTTTATGCTTTAAGGAGGACAGGCAGCTAAGAAATAGTATTCTTTCTTTAATAAAAAAGGATAGGTAACAAAGGCCTAGTGACCTATTCAGAGTATATTTTGTGAAAACAAAGGTTATAGTGATATAACTTCAAGTTATAGAAAGAATAAAATGTCTTTGAGATTCACAAACAAGAAATAAAAAATTCAGTGAAAAATCTTTACCCACTTCTGTCTCTTTTTAGCAATATTCCAGGCTCTTTATGCAAAAACTTAAACTATAAAATTTTTATTGATGTTTTCAGAGTAAAACCCTGAAAAAAATTCAAATGCAACCACTAAAGTTCTTTCCAAACCTAACCTAAGTATTTTACCAAATCCTTATTTTTAAAGCTAGTAAATTTCTAGTGGTGAATGTTTACTATAAATATGATGAAAAACACAATTTCAAAATAGATAAAATATGGTTATGGAAAAATATAACCTTTATAAGAAAGGTTTCATATTACTTGTTAAAAGAGTATTTAAGCAATTCTTGTAGAATTTTCAGTAATGTATGATAGTTGCAATAGAAAACTATCATGTGAAAAGTTTTAAAAAGCTTTTAAAACATATTTTTAAAGGATGAGGAAGTACATAGTGCTAGTTTCATATAAAGGTTTCCATCCTCAAACCTCTCATCCTAATGTCTGAGACATCAGTTAACAATGAAAATACTAACCAAAGGAAAAACATTTTGCTTGTTATCTTAAAATAAAGTCTGTTCTTGTCTTGTCCTTAAAACATTCTGGCTAACAGGAACAGCTAACATTTTGGCAATCACATCAATGCATATTTCAACTATCAGATAAAATAAGATAATGTTTATGCTATGATTATGCTTTCATTTTACAGATAGTGTCAACTATTAATTGTCCTTCAACTCTGTAAAAAGCCTAAAATAATTCCCAGTCATCTTTACAATTTAGTATTTTCACCTTTTGGCTGAATTTATTTCACTCCACTCTTTACTGTAAAAACATTTCTGAACCAAAACAATGATGGGAAGAAGGTGGAAAAACTCAGAAAAAAAAAAAAAAAAAACTAACTGGGAAAAAAAACATGATTCCATTTGGATTTTAACAGATCTGGATTTTGAGTTGTTGCCCAATCACTGTGACCGTGGTGAAGTCCCCTAATAAATCTATACCCTAATTCATTCACATGTGAAATACTGAAATAACATCAACTTTTTTGCATGCTTAGAAAGATAGGGAAAAAATAATAAATCCATATAGCAGAATGCAGGTACAAAGCAGACATTCTACAAATGTCAAGGTCACTTTCCAAGGCTTATTTTACTTGAGGCTCTGCATTATGTTGCTTTGTACTTTTCCTGTTACTGTATAGCCTTTATAATTTTGATTTCAATGGCTATATGTCTCTGCATGCATATCAAAATGCTCTTAAGTTCTCAAACACTGAGCATTATTTTCAGACTTGCTACATTCTTTTTTCTTTTCCAAAAACAATGTTGCACATATAAGCTGTTCCTGACCTTCAAAAACCTTTTGGTCAGGATGACTCCATACTTATCAAGAAAAATACAGATGGTCAGCTTCTAATTTTAAACACCAGTCCAAATAAACAGAGCTCTAAATTACATGTGCAGTGAAAAGCTCCACATTGGAAACTGAAAATAACACCACCTACTCCATCTTCCTAACAGAACTGTTATCACACCACCATTCTTTTCTCGAGTTCCTTGATGCCTAGACATTTCTAAATTATGTCCCCTCACAGTCCTTGGCACAACTATCAATAAACTGCTTCTAAACTGATGGTGAAATGTATCCACAGCCTGAATTACCAGAGATGCTAAATAGATAAAATGTTCAGACTTCCTGCTATCTAGTGGGAAGAGAGGAATACAGGGAGAGAGAACTACTGCTGGACACCATTCCTCACTAACCAGAAATAGACGAGGCCCAGTGATGGGGTTGAGAGAAAACAGATGACCCTGTGGGATAATCATTATTTCTTGAATCACTCTGTTACCAACAAGTCTGTACTTAATAGTATCTGCACCTATAAATGCAATGTAAATGATTAGAAAAAACCTAGAGGTTATGGAGTTGGATGGCCTAGGTTCAATCCCAGCTCTACCACAGACAAGTATGCACCTGAACAAGCTGGGTGAGGGACTGAGACCTCAGTTTCTTCTACAAAGAGGATGACAACAGGACTTGCTTCATGGGGTTGCTGGAGAGATCATGAGAACACAGACAGTCCTGCTAATGTGCCCGATCCACACTGAATCTAGATGCTGATGATTTTTAAACTGGCTTTACCCTTCCCGGCTTCCTAGACTTCCTTAGGTTAAACCAGAAAGAGATGGAAGTTAAAATAGGTAGTGAAATACCATCAACCCAGCCACATCAATAAACTTCACTGCTATTTCTAAATTACAGCATGAGGTTCTTCTGTCCTTGGGAGTTACCTTCCTGATCTCAAATAAGGAATAAAATTTTAGTATTTCAATAGTAATCTAAGAAAACACAATTAGGAAGTTAAAACTGTCCTGATTAAATGAATTCTGAAAGCTAATTATAATGGCATTTCTGTAATAACTTTAATTTTGCATTATCTACCTTAGCATGTTACTTATTAAACAAAAATAATCACAAATTGGTATTATACTGTTAGTGTGAGATAACAGATCTCATGGAAGCTCACAATACTGTTTCCCCTGAGGAGTAAAGACACATGTAAACTAAAAATGTGCACATTTAAGATCATCCAATATCTTCAAGCAGTTATACATTTCAGTATAAACTATTTTTATATTTTATTTTCTCTTTTAATAGAAATGCTTAAAACATCATTGTGTATTCTTATTTGAGTGAATGGAAATCGATTAAATCTATAAACAATTCTATTAAAATGTGACATGAGTATCATCACCATGTCAACAGTTATTTCAACATAAGCAACCTCAATGTTTATTTAAAAATTTCAGAATAAAATTGGATGTTGTTTTATCCCTTTAAAGACAGAGTCTTTATTTTTTAAGTCTGTCATGTCTCCCCTCCAGAGATGGCCAAGGTGGCTAATGGATACCCACTGGTCCAAATGCCTTCTGGCCTTTTAGGATAGCCATGCAAACCAGAAAATATCAATGGCATTGCTTGGGTTCTTTTCCTTTTCCTTTTCCCTTTCCCTTCCTTCCTTCCTTCCATTTTTTTTTTTTTTTTTTTTTGCTTTGTTTTGTTTTGTTTTTAACAGAGATGCAGAATCTCAGGCCCCACTTACTGAATCAGAATGTGAATTTGAAAAATATCCCAGGTGCTTTGTATCCTCATTAAAATTGAAGAAGTACTGCTGTATGGGTCACTTCTAGATCAATAATGCTATCATTTTACAACTTTTGTGATAAAATTTTCTGTATGAGGTTATAGCATATAGAACAAAGTATGTTAGATTTAATATCCATCCCCTCATAAAGTAGACTTTTTCTCTTGATTATGCAATTATTTAAGTCAGTGAATGTTCAATTGAAATTTTATTAATGAAGCTATAAAGGATTAAATGTTATTAGAAGAAGAAGGTATGGAAATAAGACCTTGCCAGGGATTTCTAAATAGTCAGACGTTACTGTGTAATTGAATGTAAGAATTTCAGGTGGCCAGCTGATTGGTGTCATTGTTATTTGCTGACTATAAGTCAAGGATGGGGAAGAGAAACACAACCACAATAGCTGATGTCTTCCCTCACACACATTGTCTTTTATTGAAGACAGCTGATGAAATTCTCAGCCTGTTAACCAAGGCAGGCAGCAGCTTGCAGCCCAGTAACACAAGGCTTCTAGCTCTCTATAACAAATGACGCCACCACTCACTTCACAGACTAGAAAGGGGAACCAGACCTTTCTTGATTCCTTGAAGACAACAGATGCTTCACATCAAATGGGATGACTGGCAGCCATACTGAGGCTGCAAATGACGTCTTTTCCAAGTCTCTAGGGGATTCTAACTGAATATTCTGACTGCTGTTTTACTTTGGTCTTTGGCTTATTTCTCCAATGTTGGAGAAAATAAGCAAAATTAAAACAAGAGATATCTATTGGGGTAAAGTAGAGCAAAGACAAGACTGTGGAAGTCTGATTCTGGTCCAAGGCTCATGAAACTCCCAATGAAGCCAACTGAGCTCACAGGGTACTCCGAACACTCAGGGTGGAACACATCATTTTTTTTTTTTGGTCTTAGCCTATCATGTAGGCTTGCAAAGAAATCCATGGAGGAAGACTAGTGGTACCATATGTGGAATTAGTGGTAGGATTTTTTTTTGTTTCTATTGGAAATGGGATAAAAGTGTAGAACTGTGAAAAGAAGACTTTGGGAGGGTCCCAGAGAAAGGAAAGAAGAAGAATGGTTGAGATATTATAACCAGGTAATAGTTGGGATCTCTGTACCCCATTAATCTCTATGGCTACTTCCCTTTTATGAAGGATGATCAACAGGCAAAAGAAACTATGGAAAAGATGAAAACAGAGATAACTGATCAATATTACTAATTTTAGCTACATTTTGTCCAGTTTATCTTATTCAAATGATCTGTGTTGCTGAAATTATCTTTGGAGTTGTGGATTTACTCTTGTATAAACTAAACAACTTCTGGGCTGGGGATATAGCTCAGTTGGTAGAGTGCTTGCCTTGCATGCACAAGGCCCTGGGTTCAATCCCCAGCACCACCAAAAAAATAAAAATAAACTAAACAACTTCTAAGAAAGAATAACTGAAGCCAGCCTCATCGAGTCATAACTCAATTAACATTTTACATATTTGG